AGGAACTCTGGAAGCATTTTGAAGACTTACCCTGTATTTGTTATCCCCAATCTGCTCCACTTGGAATCGCTTTGCACATTTACATTTAGCTACCTGCCTTGTAACCTGCCAAAAACACAATCGGAATAATTGTTTTACTACTAATATCATATCACTGAAGCCTTAAATGATTAGCAGAACTGCAAGTTATTAAGGCTATAAATTAAGTTCATTATGGATTCAAGTATGTGATTCTAATAGAATATGTCTGCTATCTGAGAAAATGAAAAGTACCTCATCTTCAATTTTGTCTGCATCTGTAAGAGGCTTATATGCATCTTTGTTCGGATGAAGTGCTGCTACAAATTCATAGTAGTCAATATAACCATCACCATCTCTGTCAAAGATATCAGCTACTGCACTCATTTCTAGTCGACTGGTAGGGAATTCTGTAATCCAAAAACAGCACCAGGAAGTAAGACTTAGGGCTTTTCAAACCCATTACAGTGGCTGGCTTGATCACCAATCTCAAAGATTTTTGGACACTAGCAACAGTTAATGTATGCTAAAGTACCAAGCAAGTATAAACACATCTCTGAAAGGAAAAGTGTACCTCCAATGCTAACTCACGTTTGGATAATAATGAAGGTAATGGCATGTTTTTAGGAGAGAAACATTACACTGAATGTGCCTAGCAGCAGATTTAACTTTAAAAAAAAGCTTTCGAGTGACACACAGATCTAGAGTCCTACAGCATTCTTGACTTCTAAAGTTCAAAGAACGTCACAAATCTACAAGTCATGCTGTTAGTGGAACAAGATCATACAAGAATGTGAAGGCAAATTAAATTCTGCAATTCAAGACCTGCCTCCTTTAGAAACTTGTGCCATTGCTTTAAAAATGGAACAATACATCCTGAAGCCTTCATTTCAGAACTCCAGAGCCAGAATAACAGCTCACTTATAGACCTTTTATAAAACACAGAGAATTACAATATGTAAACCATCAGCTCAGCTGGTGAAATGTCTGTAAAATAACTAACATTTAGCAAGAACAGGATTATCTCAGGTAATAGTTTTAGCTGGTAGTAGTAGCAGTGTTTTATTTTTAAATGCAGGCCAGCCATGCAAGGCAGCCACAGTAATAGACAATGTAAGAGTATATTACATTGTTACATTGTATACAATAAGGATTTTCTTTATCAGCATGTGTCTCCTAATACAAATTATTAATATAAAATTT